CTACTTTTGTGGATACTCTGCATTGTTCTGCTCAGGATTTGTCAGCCCACTTCCATTCGAAATGCCTTTTATTATACAAAGCAATTTACAACTTATGCACTATTGATTTTGGTACAATATAGCTGTAATGCACATCAAAAACAGCTGCTTGCTAAATGGAAAAGAAATTGTCCTTTTGTTTTTATTTGCACCAATAAAGTTGTGCAGTTTTGAAGTATTTTGTCCAGCGTCAATTATATCGTCAGTTATGTCGCAAATTTTCTCATTTATATGGTGATCAATATTTTTGGCCATACCACCCTATCGCCCTATCCCCAAGACACCCACATCCTCTTATCTTTTTCTACTAACTTTACATCTATTTACATCTCTCTTCAGTGATTGAGCATTTAATTTTGTAGCTCTTTGATTGTTAACAGCCGATCTGGTGCAGGAGTCTAGAAGGCGTGTTCAGTAATCAGACGTCAGCCGTGGAAGCAGCATGGATCACATGGTCTATTGACAGTCCAGTGATACTTCATTTTTAAATTGATGTTATTGATGTAATATAAGGATGTTCCAAATGACCAAAGTTCAAACAAACAACAGTCAGGATTCAGACAAACCCTGCAGGAGCTTCAAGACAAATAAAGAGCGACTAACAAACGACTGGTGACTGTCTCCACATTCTTCAGCTGAAGAAGCGTGATCACACTCACCAAGTGTGCTCATGAGGTAAGCAATAATCCAGCCACAGGCTGATTACTATCAGATCTCACACCCTGACAGAAGAGGAAGTGAGCTGTGCCGCCTCCCACAGCTGCTGCTCTGCTCACTGAGTAAGACTTCAGCAGAACTGTCACAGAGAGACTGGAAGTTTGGCTGACGTCTGGTGGTGATACAACGGTCCACTGATGTTAATGCAGATGATTACTCACCATTTTCTATGAAGTGAAGTTTCTGCTGCTTTCAGACATTCTGGCTGGATTCAGGCTCGTGTTACCACCTGTCATGTTCCAAATGTGTTCAGATAGACGTTAAACTGGATGTTAATGACCAGCAAACGTGCATAATGTGTTAGAATAATGATTTCAGATTTGACATAGTGATCTAAGACCTGTCAAAGCTTAGGGTTTTTTGTTTGTTTGTAACTTTGTTTAAATGTTTGTCCCCACTTCAGACTGTAGATTAAAGCTTGATGCAGCCACTGTGACGTCACCATGTCCACAGTGGATCATCCTGTTAGTTGTTTGGTCTATAAAATGTCAGTAAATGTTCGAGAAAAAGTCAACCAGTGTTTCCTAAAGTCCAAGATGACGTCCTCAAATGTGTTGTTTTGTGCAAAACCCAAAGAGATTCCGTTTACTGGCATAGAGGAACCAACAACCAGAAAATATTTACATTTTAAGGAACTGGAATCTGAGAATTTTGACTTTTTGGACTCACTGATCAAAATAGTGACAATCTAATGGTAGACACAGAACCAATTAGTGGCCTAATCCATACTGCTATATGAACCACTGTACCACCATTGAAGCCTGGAGTTTGACATTTGGCTGTTGCCATATTGTTGTTGTTTTTAAAACCAGACATAATCATTAAGGTGTGGATCTGACTGAGAACTGGAGGACGCTACACACAGTGATGTGGTAGCAGCTCGTCATTTACAAGACAGCTTCACCCTAAAACATACGCTGCATTATCATCTATTGGACGCTAAATGGGACCATAATTTACTAAATGATCATCACGCTGCACCGAAGGAGACTTGAAACGAGTGATTGAGACCATAAACTCATTAGGAAAACGTTTACTGAGGTAATAAATGGAGGGGGAAGCGGGTTCATTTCCTCCTTGACTTCAATACAATCCGACTTCTCTCTACCACCAGAGGAGTCGCCCCCTGCTGGTCACATCCATCCTTTATATGCAGCCTATGGCCACCATGAAGTATCAGTCTAACGGTCTTGTTCTTAGCTTTCTGTTTCAGCTTCTTCACTAACTTGTAGTTTTCCTGGCAGCTCCTGCAATTTGGATTTATCATCAAGCTTCATTTCAACATTCCTGTATAACAGATTTAAAAAATGACCAGATAGCATCAAAACGTGACGGTCACAAGGAGGACGGCATGTATTTAAACTCTGGTCACATGTGTGAAGTCTATTCAAAATTGCAGCCTTTCTGTTTGTTAATTGCATTATTTGAAACTGATAATCAGAACTCTTGATTGATAAATATATTGATATTTCTTGAGCATAAATGCATCGTCTGAATCCTGAATCCTTCAGTTTTCTGCTGTTGGTCAGAGAAAAACAAGCAACTTAAAGATGTCAGCTTGAACTGCAGAAAATGTTTTTCTTGCATTTTATAGACACCCTGATTAAAAAGAAACAGCTTAATCCATACTGAAAATAATTAGTAGCAACAAAAATGATCAATTCTATGTGATTATTGTCCAATAAAGTGAGCTGTCTGCCTGAAACACAATGAAATCCCAAACTACACATTCTCTAAAGCACCGATTCTGTCTAATTACTGAGCCCGAGTTCAACAGAATTTGCAAACACCGCTCTGTGTTGGCCGTCCAACAGAACACAAACAGGATCGGACCCAGACTTGGCCGGGTGACGGCGGCCGAGGAAGAGAGGTGGGAGGGAAGGAACAGGCGGTGCTCACACAATGAAGCCATGAGGAAATGAGCGGAGAGGAAAGAGAAGGAAGGAGAGGAAGAATGGCCATTGACAAGCCTGCAGCGGCTGGTGTGCAGGTTGAGTCAGGTTCACTGGGACGTGATCGGCAGTTCTGGCTCAGGATCAGACCTTCATACTTTGCTCATGTTTGGACTTTACAGAATGCCGTGACGTGCATCAGACTGGCGTTGTGTTTGTGCTTGTCGTCGGTGCAGCCTGTGAGTTAGTGTGGGCAGGTACGGGACACAAACAGCAAACAGAATCTACTGATCAGGCCCTTCCCTCCTGTGAGCTCACGCTGCCGCTCCACACACTTTACCGAAGCCAACGAGGAAACAAGGCAGCAGTGTGAGGATGAATGGAGCCACAGAGGCCTTATCTTGATGCTGGGACGCCGAGGAACAACTTCTACACCGAGACTCTCCAACCATGAGGAAGTCTAACATACACACACCTCCTTCAGCCAGGTTGTCTGTGTGACCCAACAGGCTGCTTATAAGGAAACATTTCTGCATCGTGTGGTTCAAGTCTGGCGACACCACGGAGACAAAAAGGAAAAGTAGCTCCCTGATAGCATCTGTGAACATGAGTCCAGTCAGAAGACCTGCTTCAGACAACCTTCATCTCAGGCCCTCAGAGCCAACACAGGATTCTTAGTCACCCCTTTGCTGTTTTGATTCAAAGCCACCATAGTTCAATATCCTATAACTGAATAATTATGTTGGATAGGCCGAGTGTATCCGTGTATGTGACGCTTGAACACATCAGTTTTTCAGATGTTTGCAGCTGGAGTCAACTATCAGGTCTGATGTTCAGCAGACTTCCAGTTAGTGGTACAACTGCTGATAAAATAAACTTAAAATGTTCTACTTGATGCAGCTGCCTCCCTCCACAGCACCGTCTGACGGGTCACACATGACCAGCAACAGCCAATCAACAGTTTTAAATTAAACACATAGTAAACATGAATTAAAAAGGCATTTCTATGTTGCAGCCACCATGTGAATCACACCTTGAGGTCCATTGAGTAGGTTTTCTGGAGTTTTTTTTTTTGATCCTCATCAGCAGATGGACTTTGTTGTCATTGAACTGGAGATGTTCAAACTTTTTTATGTCACATGAAGATCACATGATGTGATCAAGAGTTTAATCAGATGGTGAGTCTGAGGTGATACGAAGCAGAGGAGGTTTGTGGCCTTTTTGCTTTAACCAAAGAGTTGATGAGAGTCTTTAAATCTATTTATTATGTATTCATTAACAATACAGTTAATTTCAAGGTTAGTGATTTATTGTTATGATTAACTGCGTTGCCCTCCTGGCTAGGAGGTTATGACACTGACTCTGCTGTCATTACATGAATGACTACAATCTATTAAACATGTAGGTATGAGTGTGTCGGTGAGATAACTTCTATCTTCAGCAGATATTTTCAGGTTAATAATTATTGCAGATAAATGTCAGTAAAACGCCCCAAACTGCCTTCTGGTCAATTTCACGTCATCATTAACTTTGGATCTGTTGATCAAACAAACGATCTGGAGACGTTATCTCCTCACAACCCTGCATGCATTCACTCCCCCGCTCCTCTAAGATGCCCTGTGTGCTTCCAGATGGAAACCCGTTTCCTCTCATCTTTGTTTTTCACTCACAAACCTGACCTATTAGCGCTCTGTGCCAGCTGAGCTCTGCTGCCAAACTGCAGGCTGAAATAAAGCCTGTGTGGAGTAGAACTCAGTGGTCCTTGCCACCATTCTTTCAAACAGCTCTGAATGTGATCTCCAAAATAAGCTGCATTGCTCCAGATTTAAACTAGAACAACCGTCTCTGTGTGTGCAGCGTCCAGGCCTCCTCTCTGGGGCTGACAGCTTCACCAACACAGGTCAAGCCTCATGTTTGACCAAGGACATTGTTCACAGACAGCCTGCATAGACCAACGTTTAACCTCCAGTCAGACCCGCATTCAGCATCAGCACCACACTGGAAGGACAAGTAGGGAACTCTAACAGTTACTGCATCTGCTCTGTGCTGTCAGAGAAGGTCACAAGGTCAAGCTTCATATTCTGTGCACATAGATTCAGTAATGAACCGTCTGCTCAGGCTCACACCAGGAGGTGCTGCTCAAAAGCACATCAGCTCCATGTTGGGAGCAGCTTCACTGCTGACAGGATGTGATGCTGCTCATCCACAACCACACCTGTTAGCTGCTCTAAGTCTGCTCCGCTGCAGGACATGACAGAGTTGGCAGAGCTGCTGTGTGTAGCAGCGACACCAGGCCCGCAGCATCCTCCTCCTCCATCCCTGCACCAGCAGCAGCAGCAGCATCAGACTCACCCAGCGTCTTCACTGCGATCTGCCTCGTCAGAGGCGGCGGCAGGTTGATGCAGACCAGATCCACATCCTGATGCAGCAGCACGTCGTCGATCCGGTTGGTGTAAAACGGTACGTTCATCTCCTTGGCCAGCTCCTCCGCCTCCTCCTGCGTCCGGCCCCACAGCGCTTTGACGGCGAAGCCCTCGTTCTTGAGCAGCGGGATGATCACCCTGGCGGTCAGGCTGGTGCCGAACACGCCGACCCCGGGAAGCATGGCGGGGCTTTACTCGTCCGATTTGGTTCTGTCTGGTTTCACTGAGTCTCTGCAGCTCCGGCTGAAGCCAGAGCTGCTGCTGCTGCAGCGGCAGCGGCTGATCGGAGGGACGGCGGCACCGTCAGGTTGGCCATCCACCTGCAGGCTCACAGCCGCGCTGCTGCATTCTCCGGCGGCTCCGCGATCCGCCGTCAACTGCTGCTTTCCCCCTAAAATAATCCGGAGACAGATGCGGGCTTGAGTCAGGCGTTAAAAGGAAGGATTCAAATGCACCATTCCGCTCCGTAGCTGACAGCGAGCAGCGCACTGACTGCGCCAAGCGGCGGAGGGCATGTCACCTCCTCCCCGGTCCGGCGGTTCTTCTCCCGGCTGGTCGCTCCTCCAGATGCGGGTGTGACACCTGAGAGGCCCGGTGTGTGTGTGTGTGTGTGTGTGTGTGTGTGTGACGGCCGGCTGGCAGAAGCAGCCCGTCGCCCTGTGCCCGCTCCCCGGAGGATCCCGCAGCAGCAGCAGCGCTTTCTGCTGAAGGCTGCTATTGATGTTGAGCCCAGACAGACCTGCTGTCAAGTCACACGCGCTGACCGGAAGAGCCGCTAGTAGCGTCCTTTCAACATAAAAGCGTCACTGACGCAACTATGCATCAGCAAGTGAGCTCCAGAGATATAACTCCATCTGGTCGTTGATTGAACCATAAACACTGAAACCTGTGTGTCAAAGTATTTAAAGTCTTAAAAATAATACTTTTGTGCCTTAAACTATATCAGATGTAACGTTACACCGTTAATTCCTCTAGAATGTGAAGATTTACACAATACTAACATGTTAACTTCAGTACCGTTCTTAACTCTATTTTTTTTTTTTGAGCGATCTACTATTATTTTACAGTTTTTCCTGCGATTTGCTGATTTGCAAATTTGCAAATTAGTAAAATCATAGAAAAAAGGGTTAATTTGCATGTTTACTGTAAACAAACCAAAAGGTCAAACCTGTAAATAATGTTTGAATCAGTTTTTACAAATATTAACTGTTTGCGTACAGTGTTTGACTGTAAAATGACTCTATTTTATACTGCATGTATTCTATAAAATATCATTATTTTCCGGATATTTGCTGGTTTTTCAAAGAAAACTTGTGTATGTTATGGATAAAAATTGTAAATAACTTTAACTATTATTTTATAAATAACATCATAGAAAAAAAAGTGTTTATTTACATGCTTACTGGATGCAGAGTTGCTCTTTACATTTTATAATTTAGTCACAAGACAGGTTGTTGACATGTAGATGTGCACAGCAAAACCAGTGACCAACAGCAGGAGGATTTTTGTAATATGTATTGCAGAAAAATTAAATTTTATAGTGTATTATGTATTTTTTTTCAATATCTTGCAGCCCAACTGTGATTTATGTTGACACAACTAACTTGGATCATTCTTTCTGTACAATCACTGATGAATAAGTCACTTGGCTTTTATTTAACTGCACTTTTCCGGTTTCTCTCTGTGTATTTGTGTGACTTGACGTCGCTCACACTTAACTCTCCTCCCAGTTTAACCCTTCAGCTCCTGGACAGGCTTATGCAGCCGAGCCCATTGAAGTGAAGGGACACTGAGGGAGCTCTTCTGTGTGCTGCATTTATTCTATGAAATCAGATCCAAGCTCTTCTCACAGTCTGCTTACAGTCATTTCAGGAAAAGAAGTGACAACTCTTAAAATAATCACTTTAACATTAATATGGTACAGACATGTATTTCTTATGGGCTGTCATTTTCTGAAAGGAAACAAGAGCATTTTAAAGGTGCTACATCATACTGGCAGCGTTTCCAGTTATGCTTTAAAGGATTTTCTGCCAAAACATCTAATTAAGAATCAACTTTTGTACCAAGCTCCAGTGGGCAGCTCTCCTCACCCGGCTTCACAGACAACTGAGCATCTAACCCTGCAGGACACCTCAGCCTTTACGCCTCACAGAGCCAAATAACACAGACCGACACATGCTGCTAGACAGACGCTGTCAGCGGGAAAAGCATCATTTTCCAGGTTTAAGAGATGACGGAGCGGAGCTACTTTGAATTCTTCAGCAGGGATCAGGAGCCTTTGAAGTGAACAGAGGATTTGAATTTCATCAAGGCCGAGTCCACAGCGAGCTGCTCTTCTCTGCATCGTCCAATTCTGGGTTTAATAAAGCAGACGTCTCACACACTGTGGCCTCACTGAGGATTTTACTCCAGCAGTTGATTAACTGGCTTTTAATCTGTGGATATAAATATTTAAAAACTCAGGCAGAATGTGTCAATTCACTGCACAGACCAACTGAAGGGACTTTTTGGGCCAAGATGAGAGTTTGTTTCGACGCTAACTGATGCAAGAGATGTGATGGCCTCAGTCACTCATCCTCCCATCTCACTTGGATTTGCTGTGATATCATTAGATTCTCACATTATTAGTGTTTTTGACATTTTTAAATTGGACATTCAAATTGGAATTTTTAGTCACAGTAAGACTGAATCATCACAGCAGCTAGTCCACTGAATGATGTGCAGTTTTGGAGTTGAAGGTCCCAGGAGGCCTCACAGCAAGAAGGTCACCGGTTCACATCCTGGTGAGGACACCCGGGATCGTCCTGTGTGGAGTCTCCATGTTCTCCCCGTGCAGTGTGGGTTCTCTCTGGGTTCTCCAGCTTCCTCCCACACAGTCCAAAAACATGTTGAGGTTTATTGGTGATTTTAAATTGTCCGTAGGTGTGAATATGAGTGTGCTTGGTTGTCTGTCTCTAAGTGTAGCCCTGTGATAGACTGGTGACCTGTCCAGGGTGTCCCCTTCCTTCACACTGAATCAGCTGGCATAGGCTCCAGTCCCCCATGACCCCAGTGAGGATTAAGTGGTGTATAGATGATGGACGGATGGAAGGTCCCAGGAGGATGAATCCTACTAATGTGCTTCAGAGAAATGTACTGGAGGTTCATTGTCCCCAGATGATGTGTTGTGGCAATGCTGACTTCTTATTTGGCTCCATCATCAGGTCTAAGTTTGAA